GCGATACTATAAGGATCGTGGGGTTGAAACTAAACATGTACTGTCACATGCATTAGGTGAGTGGCATCGTTCGTGACACATGGGAGGATCATAGCGTATCTTAGGCTTGGAAGTTTGCTCTCGGAACTAGATTATATGCATTCCTTGCTCTTTTAAAAACTATATACTCACGTAACGTGATCGGGGAATATGAAACTTTGGACAGAGACTATTGCCATAAGAGTGTTCAGCTGGGCCGAAAAGATCAGAGAGGAATCATGTAAAAGAAGCAGAGCCGGAAGGAAGACTGAAGGGGGGATCTAGTGTAGAACGAACAAGAGGGAGGTAACCAATTAACTCTAAATAATGTTGGAGAACAATTCATACGCTTGATTGCAAAATGCATTTCATTTCCACACAAACAATGACACGCGCCCCTTATCCAGAGAATTAAAAAACTTAGCTAAACTATTAGAAGTGCATGGATGAACTCAACTAGATATTAACACACCTTGGAAAATACATTTCAAAATGCCAAAAAATTCTGAGAAAAGGTGCCTGCGGACATCTCCATGACGCGGACATATTTTTGCAAACATGTATGCACGGAAATTTGTTTTAATTTTTTTGACATTTCAAAACACCTTTAGAATACATTTTTTGAAAAGTGAGTTCAGATGTACCTGGATTCAGGACATGCCGACTCGCTAAACTACTTGCTTCTTTATTTGCCGTTTGTCCTTTGAAGATAAATTTGCAGTTAAAATGGTCTGCTCGCCGCTAAATTTGCAAACATAAATGCTCTCATAGTTGCTGTTTGTGCCTTCCATGTATGTCATGGATTTTTTGGGATACAGAGCTCGATTTCATGATGCCTCCCTGACATGTTTTTGGGATCCCAACTTGGCCTAGAAAAGCAAAGTACCATTTTCCAAAAAAAAAAATAGTTTCTGCATTCTGAACAGTTGATAAGGCACACCTTGATACATTCACCAACGAACTTGTTTCCTCAAGCCTCGGTAAAATAACAAAAAATCGTCAAATTATTCAAGAAAAAGCAAAAGGACCAAACATATTTGCAGCTCAGTTTGGCCCCTCAGCAATGCTGAGAAAAAAATGGCAAACATGCACCTGCTCATCACAAGCTAGCACACTTAGCAACAGATTAACATCCCAGACCTCTCAGGTGAATAGTGGCCACAACAGAGATAAATCCGATCAAAAGCTCTTTCAGGTTCAAACTCACCAAATCTCATCTCAGTAGCCAAACCACAGTGCAAAATCTTAAGAAAGCTAACAGACCATAATCCAGCAGCATTACATAATCCAGGAAACTCGTCCTCAAGTGCCACAAGTAATAAGCTAGAAGAAAAGAGGGACACGCTATCAAAGCTTTGATCATCTAGCTGCTCCGGCGATCAGATCAGACGATGGCGTTCGCTGCGCTGGCGATCCTGGGCCACAGGTCGGCGCACTCCTTCCCAATCGGTCCAGTGATGGCAGAACCTGCGCGATAGAAGATGTGTCAATCAATCAGGCTGTTCAAACAGCTATGACATGTGCTAAAAAGTGTTGACAGCTTGTATTGATCTGCTCTAGTTAGCTTATCTTTGAAATACAGCTAGTTGCATACTACAGGTTCATTGATTGTTACTTTCAACTGCCTGTTATAAAGATTTGATGCAACATGCAGAAAAGTATAGAATCTGCCAAGTGATAATCGATACCTTTCATCTCTCCCTTTGGGTTCACGATGACTCCAGCATTGTCTGCAAGTATGACAAAAATCAAACATTAGATTTGAATTTTAACAAAATCAGCGACTACTATCCAACAACACTTGCAAAGAGAAAGGTTGACAGATCAGAATGCAGACACAGAAAGTCTCAGACAACATTAAGACTAAATAATTCTCACATGAAAGAGGAAAGCATGCAATGTGCCCGGGGGTGGCACAATGCAATAGAAGACTGCACTACGATGTTCTTCTGGCCAATTTGCATATGTGCTCCATTGTGGCAAATGACCACAGCAAAAAGGTGATAACTCTTCATCTGACAATAATGCAGCAATCCCATAGAATGTGTGCATGATGCATTAAATTTTCTTTCAAACCAGAACTCAACTTCTCTAGTAAGGACATGCATGTGTAATTTTGCAGGTATTCCAAACATAATTTGTTCATCAAGTTGTTTCAAAAAATTAAACAGTGGCAGCTAACAGCTTAACAGACAGCAAACTCACTAGGCAGATTAAACTATAACAGTACAATATAATGCAGGATGCCTCAGTGACTCAGTCATCATAAGAACTGAGCCATACCTTCAAAGTACATGAAGACACCGTCCTTTCGGCGCCATGGCTTGCGCTGCCTGACTATGACAGCCGGCATGACCTTCTTCCTGAGGTCAGGCTTTCCCTTCTTGACAGTGGCCATAACCATGTCACCAACGCAGGCAGAAGGAAGCCTGTTGAGGCGCCCCTTGATTCCCTTCACGGAGATGATGTAGAGGTTCTTGGCACCAGTGTTGTCGGCGCAGTTGACAGTGGCTGCCACCGGCAGACCCAGCGACATCCGGAACTTGTTTCCAGCGGAACCTCCGCGCCCTGCAGTTCAAGAACAAGCACACACAAGGAGATAGTCAGATAAAAGGATCACATATACCTCCAGTACAATAAACCAATAATCTAGAGATGCATGACAACCACACACCAGTGCTATGATTCATGAAAAGCCCTTTATAGCTAAGCAAGGATTATATCTATTTACTGAGCCAAGATAAACACAAGCATCTGAGAAACACTTGACTCAAGATGCAACCGCCCGGATGATTCATTCAAGATCTAACACAATTACTCTACAGGCAGAAATAAATAGAAGGCATAAATAGAAGGCGATTACCATGCACAACACCGACTAAAACTCGAAGACAAAAACACTAATTTACCATGCGTGCGAGCAATTTTCCACTCAGAGAAGCCACGGCCAGAGGCATCTAACAAAGATGGGAGCATATAATTTACAGACACACGCTCATTTCCAATTCCTACGAAGGCCCTAAACTGGATCCAAATAGCCACGGCACACTCCCAAAATCACCACAGCCGAGCAGAACTCCATCCGAAAGACATCTCCTACACCACATCTAACCACCGTCGACACCTAAACCACCACCGAATTCACCAAGAACAGCCACAAATCGCGACTACAGCAGCAAGAAAACACGCGTCCGGCCTCCAAATCGAGGCGCAGCACCGCGCGATCCAACCAGGACTACGCTACGAGACTACCACGAGGCGGCCAAGCAAGATCATGCTGGGAAGAAATGGAGGAAGGGGGAGATTTTTCGCCGTACCTCGCTTCGACATCTTGGAAGAGTGGGTTGAACCCGGCGGCGGCGGCGGAGGGGGAGGATGGGAGGCGATCGTCCCGCTTATATAGCGGCCGCGCCTAGGGCTTCGCGGCCGTTATGCACGCACACCCCTGGAGCTCTTTTCCAACATCACCCGCGTCCTCGGCCAGGGGCTCTGTAAGCTATGGCACGTAAATGTAGGATAGTATGGGGTGGTTGGTGAAAAGAGGGCGCGGAAGAAATTAGGGCTTCGGGTTTGGGGGGCCGTTTTCTTGCCGATCCGTCCCTGAGGAAGCCGGTAATTGCGAGGAGGGGTCTGAGGAAAGGGAATGGCGGCCATGGAGATGGAGGAGGTGCTCGCCCTGGTGCCGGGCTTCGTCGACATCCTCGTCCTCGCCGGCGGCCGCGCCTCCTCCGGCGCCGCCGCCGCCTGGCGCCCCGCCGACGTCCAGAAGGCCCTCCGCTGGGCGCTCTTCTTCGAGGAGGTACTACCACGCCCCGCGATCTCCCCCTCCCTCCCCCGCTCGCTCCACCGCGCTAGGTTTCGGTTTCGCCTCCTCCCGCCCCTCCACGACGCCATGGCGCTGGCTCGTCGCGCGCTTCGTGCTATGTCGGCCCGTACTGGCCACCCCGCAGGATTTGTGTGCTGTATGTGAATGTGAGGTGCCATGGCATGACCAGTTTGTTCCTGCATTGTCGTGTTCAGGTCTTCAGGAACCTGCGTGACTCCGGGCAGTACGAGGAATCCGCGAGGGAGTTGGACGCGGCGCTCGCCGAGCTCGCCTCAAGCCCGGGTTTCCCCAAGGTGATTTCGATGAACTGTTTCCCTTATGAAATGTTTGTTATGATTATGCGGGTGCTGATGTTCTGCTTCGTGCCGCGCAGGGCCTTGTCGACATGCGATCGGAGACGCTCTCGGCGGCCACCGAGCTGGTCATAAAGCATTTCCTGAAAGCCGAAACGACGAGTGTGGAGAACATCCGGGCTGTTCTCGAGGCGGTCGTGGGGATGGATATCAACGGCATTGGTGCTAGCGGTGGGTGCGATGCGTGCCAAGAGTATGTGAATGCGATCCTGAATATGGATCTGTCTGGTTTGCCGCGGACCAAGAGCGGCGGTGAAGTAGGAGCTCCCACCACGGGTCATTCACGGATTCTGGTTAACGAGCTTCTGGAACGGCTAGACTCAGCATCGTGTATTTCTCTGGCTGAGAGAGGACTGGGCACACTTCTGGACAGCGTGAAGAAGAACAGCTTCAGTGATCCAGGCAGCCCAGTGATCTCTAGGTACATAAGCCCTTAAACACTCTCAAGCTTCTGTGGTGTGTCCTTTGTTTTTCATGGTAGCATGCTATGGTTTGAACTCATTAGAAACTTTACGATGCAGAAAATCACAAATCATCGACCAGTTTCTTCTGTGGAAACAGTGGAGAGGACGATGTTTGTCATACTTACTTGATGAACGCACCGTTCGGATTGTGTCTGGATCTAGTTTTATCTTTAGTGCTCCCAAGGAGCAGTGGATGAAGGTGTTTGAACCATTAAGAGTTTCTGTAGATTCTTGTCAGAGTGGCCTCGTTGAAGTCATGGTATCTATTCGTGGCACAGCCTTTAATCATCTACACTGCTGTATACTCATTCTCTGCATTATAACATTAATATATATATATATATGCATCGTCTTTACAGGAGATATGCTTGCTCGGTTTGATTTCAAGGCGATGGGACCCATTGATAGAGAGCTTCGTGTCGCATGCTTTTAGTTCCCTTCCTATATCCAAGCAGTATGCTGATCTGCACCAGTTGCTTCAGGGAACTTATCGGGGTGAATGCCCAGACAAGATTCTTAATTTGAAGGTTTTTTGTATCTTTATCTTATGTCTTATTTGCAGCTTGCTTTTGCCAAGTTTCATTTTCTTGCAAACATCAGTTTTGGTGAAATCATTTTTAAATCAAGGAATCCTACCCCTGTAAACCAAGTGGGCAGCTATGCACATTTAGGAAGACGTTCAAAAAAGTTACACCTCATTGCCCAGCACTGTTAAGCACCATTGTGTCAACTATCTAATGTACTTCTCTGACTCCCTGGTGCTGTGGTACTAAAAATCTGGATGGAACACTAATAACTAGATGAAATCACATCCAGAGTACAGTTACTGAACCATGCTTTGGCAGCTGACAAGAATTTGACATCAACCATTCATTGACGAGAGCTGAATTTTTTTTGAGCAATGGGATGCCTGCTGCCTTTATTGGTAATTTATGAGGAGCATGCCTTTCACGGGTTTCTCAGGAAGTAAAATATTGTGACATGGACATAATATTATCGAAATCTAAATTTCTTTGTTGCCTTTGTTGTTATCATCTTCCCTTTGCCCTAAAACCTTTCAATTTGTCAAAGCTGATAGTATACCATCTTGAAATGATGTTATCTGTTTTTGCGCCTTCTTGGTGTGGTTCTTCTAGTACGAAAATACCCATATTTTGATGTGTGGTTGAGGAAAAACATAATGTGATCTCTTTAACCAAGCATTTCAACTCCAACAGGAAAATGACATTCTTGAGTATGCAAGGCAGTCATTAGAAAGTAAACCGCATGTATTATGGCTTCTACATCCAGTTCTTACTGCGGCAGCAATTCCGCCACGGTAAGCTGTTTGCTCTTTACCCTAAAATGTGTCCCTGCTGAGTTGTATGATCATTTTAAAAGTTTAATATATGCATTGGATCCTGTAGGTCGACCTTGTTTGAAATATACCTTGCAGAAATAGATAAGCAATTTGATGAAGCTGTTTCCACAGAACGGTATTATCAATAGCCAAGTATTTACTATAAGCTAGGTTAAATTTCAAAGTTATTGTACCAGTTCTCATCATGAAACTTCACTGCTTCAATTTCAGGAAATGTAATTGCAGAAGAGATGGAATAGAGCAACATGATAGCTGTAAGTAGTTTCATAGTTCTAACTACTCCATTTCTCAAATTTCAAATGGAAAAACCATCCAGTGCTGCGAACTCTATAAAAATACCTATTCTTCGTTTTAGGTGAGGTTGCCGAAAGGATTCAATGTCTCTACACTTTCCATGTTCAACAACCTCATCCAATGGTTCAGTAGTGGCGGTAGTTCAAGACAATACAGGAGATTTGCAATGTGCACTTCCACTCCAAGTAATTTATTTTCCAGGCTGGCTGCAGTAAATTACTTTGCATGTGTGATGACGGTGATATGATGAACGTTAAACAGCAGGAAATCAATACAGTTTCTGCATGATAAAAATTTGAAAACTGTTACTGATCAAAAGTCACTGCATATAAACTGGTCAAATACGAAGATTGAATAGGTTCTTTTCCTCCTTTTCCGCCTTCCAAGTTGACAATCTATGATGAAATACAACTATCTTCTTGTCGGACGCATGTTCAGTTTAGGCGATTTATTTGCATCGTATTTTTTTCTTATCTTTTGTTCTCTTTTTTCTGGCCAATGAGACATGAGTCTTCTAGGGTGTTTGTTGGACAATCGTGGTTTGACTGATGTCTGCTATATGTTTTTCACATTTATTTGGATTTTGAAGATGCAAACCAGTCTCTTTAATCTAGCCTGGTCGGCTGGTAGTATCATGGCAAACAAATCCCATTAGGAAAAAAAGAAGACCAACCAAAGTACTTATGTTGATCTACATAAGGTGTCCACGCTATTAAAAGTTGAACTTTGGCCATAAACTTGTTGTACAATACAGTATGACATGATCCACATATTGTAGATCTAATTGCGGGTCAAAGTGTAAATCATGGAACTAAATCAACAGCGGGACTGCATTTTTTTTCCCTGTGATGAAGTTACTGAAGAAAATCATTTTCCAATTTGCATAACCAATACGCAGCTGACATTTTCTTCCCTATTATTTTGCCTGTTTGTGCTTCTAGACTCCACCTGCACCAGGTCAGAACTCTAAAGCATGATTAATAAATTATTTACGAAGTGCTGTATTCCAGCTGTTCCTTTTCATACAAAATGAGAAGATGCATAGTTTTGGATAAGGTAATTTAGAAAGAGACGTTGTCATGCCAGCTTTTAAACAACCTTCTGTTACATGCCAAATTGGGTTTGTCAACTCCAAAGCACCTAGTTGCCAAAAAGATACTCCATGATTGCAAGCTTATTGTTTTCTGGAATATTGCTTCATCCACATGGTTTAGAACCAAGCATAAGGCCTGGGCAAGATAGCTCTACCATGTCCTGAAACTGCTTTTATGTAACCGTGTCAGTTTTTTTTACAACCTCCTAACTGATCGGTGTAATAGGTTAATTCACAACTTCTGTATTTCGGTCAGACCAAACTAGCAGCTGTATATCTGTTGCCATAGTTCCCTTTGCAGTACTATCAATCCAGCTTGGCAGCATGTATATCTATGTTCTGCCTTGTAAAGCTTTAATATTTTTCTAATCAATCTACCTCTGGGTGGTTGATGCATACAATAAGTCAATAGCTGGCAGGTTTTAAAATATCCATTACACAGGAAGTAACTCCATGTGGTCCCTATTCTTAAAATAAAATGGAGTCAGTTTAAAATATTGGTAGACTATTTGCTTGATGGTTATAGAAATTTAGATACATTTAGCAGATTCAGGGTCCCCCTCTAGAGCCATAGCTCCACCTACCCTCCCCTGTGCACACAGCGACTTGAACTCCTTTCCATTCTTAGCCCCTGAATTGATCCTAGCAACACATCCTGGCTTAAAACTTTAATCCCTGTTCTTCTACGATCCCGTTCTCCAAAGAAAGAAGTAAGTATCAACATCGATTCAACTAATTCTGTAACAGCAACGCAGAATCCACATCAAGTTACTCTTTTTTTGCAACTCTTTCGTCTGATTTATCGCTCAGATTAGTTATTTGTTCCCTTCAAAAAAAGAAGATTAGTTATTGGTTCTTCTATTCCATTAATTATGTTCCTTCTGGGAACTGCTGGAGAGTTGGGGCTTGTTCTATTCAGTTCTTGAATGCTTCTTTGCTTTTTATCTTTTATGTTTAAGAAGGGATTGAACCTGCAAATCATGTTGCACGTGTGTCTCAATCCTTTGCAGTTTGTTCCTGTTACTTCTTGATTACAATCTTGAGTTTGCTCTCAACCTCTAGAAGTATAACTGGCAATTACCAATGTGCGATTCACATCATGATTCCGGTGTTCAACTACGATTTTTCATTACTAAGATGCATAACCTGCTTGATATTCACAATTTTAAGAACCTCACTGATTTGCCATTTGGGGGTTTATAGTAATAAACTAATAATTGTCTATTGGCTTGCATATTCATAGAAGATAATTTCTTGCTAGTCAGCAACCTGGGAAAATAAGACGCTCCAATGATCTCAATGACCGAACAAGACCAGAGATTTTTTTCCCACTGATTTCCTTTCCAAGTTAGAATTGGATAGGCCCTTACACTTCCCCAATGATATGATCAAAGATCCATTTTAGTGGACTGAGGTGGATCATCGAAGGGGTAATGCACACGGCTGTACATCAATAATGAGTCAGTTTTGCAATGGAGAAGTTCCTCGGTTTGTTTCATCAGATATTAATGTATTACAAGTACTCTCTGAAGTCACAGTTCCTAGTTTTCCAGAGTATAGGACATCTTACATTGAAAGGGATCTGTGCGGTAGTTCTATCACCTCATTCGGTACCTTATGTCAGCCATATATGTCAGCTTCCAATTTCACTTCAGATCTTCGTATCAACGATGGATCACCTAAAGGGAAACTGTCTTTTGGATCGCATGTTATTGCAATATCTGGTTGTGATACTTCACTGCCATCAGCGCATGCATCATACACTGGTAATCCAGATTATTTAAGGATGGTCTATCCCAAAGTATCTGAAGAAATAAACTGGGGTCAAGGACCACTCCCAGGAGTACTTGAATATCCAGCAACCATTGATGTTTCTGATCAACGAAACGTGATTGTTAGCCAACAATGCCAAGACATTGTTGCAATTGATCATAGTACCCACCTTGCAAAGCAAAAAGAATGGTATTCATCTGGGAGTACAGAGCAATTTCTGGGAAGTTCAGGATCTGGTGGATCTGTGCTTAAGGTATCCATCTCATTTGACTGATTTTTTGCTTGTGATCTGTTTTAATTGTTCTAGGGGTTCTCAGTTTCCTCTCTTTCTTTTGGCTTTACTAACTGCAAAACAATATGATGACCAACCCTTCATCATTCTACTTAGGGCCCTGTTTGGGAGAACTCCACTCCACCTTCTTGCAGCTCCAGAGATAATATTATTGAATTTTCCCACATGCTTAATGAAGTTACCACCTCATTTGCAGGCAGCTGATGCAAGTATGACACCTTCAAATTATGCATATTTTCATGGGCAGAAAAACAGATCGAGTTCATTCAACGTGGATGAACTTTGCAGTGATAATTTACCTTGTTCAGACACTACTCCAACCAAGTCAAGGATGCGCTGGACACCTGAGCTCCATGAGAAGTTTGTTGACGCTGTTGACAAGCTTGGTGGAAGTGAAAGTATGATCACTGATGCTTTCTTGCGCTTTTTTAAATGTAGTTTTTTTACGCTTTATTTTAATGCTAATCGTGCTTTGTTCACTGATGAAATTGTATGGGGTAATGTATCCTTTTAAACCAGAAATATTAACATGTGTCTGTCTGTACAGTCATGTTGGTCTTTGTTGTGCTCTTTTTGCTAGACATTTTCATTTATCTAAGCCCTCTTCCTGCAGAAGCAACTCCAAAAGCAGTCCAGAAAGTTATGAAGGTTCAAGGACTAACTATATACCATGTAAAAAGCCATCTACAGGTCTACATTTGTTCCTTCTGAGTTTTCAGTGAGTTTTTTTTTTATATTTCTTCTGTATTTTCCTGATGGCCGCGGGTTACTCTTTTGCAGAAGTATCGTACAGTTCGCCATCAATCTGAATCATCTGATGGTTTGTGTGTCTCTCTGTCACAACGCTGGTTTAATGTCATCATTGCAAAACATACACTGACTATCATATTGTAGCCAACTATGATACTTCAGCAGACATATTACTTTACCAATATAACTGTTTTTGTTTTCTTACATTATGTTAGTTATGTGTAGCCTCTAGTTAAATTTAAAGAAAATTGTTGAAATGTAAGGTTTTATGCTTACTTCTATTTTCTTTATTTTAGCAGGCACTTCAGTGGAGAGAAGCAGCCACATGGATGAAGTTTGCTCCCAGAACATGAAGTGAGATAATCTTTAGCTGATATATCCTTGCTTTTATTACTATTGTAAAGACTGACTTGACGTAAATTTATATCTTTGCTTTTATTACTGTTGTAAAGACTGCCTTGACGTAAATTTATGTTGTATATATGTACCACCTGTGCACCAACCTGGAAGATACGTATGCCATCAGTAACCTATTTTAGCTTCAGACGTATTTCAAAGACATCCATGAAATGGTGCAATGCCCAGTCCACAGTAAAGTTTTTTTTTGTGTGTGTGTGTGTGTGCGAGTTCCAGAGTTCTAATTATTCACTTTACACTTGGCGCAGACACATGGAGGCTAGTGAAGGGCTAAGAACTCAGATTGGCTTGCAGAAGCAACTTCATGCACAGCTTGAGGTATGCATATTCTCACTTCTTGGAACTGGCAAGAAAAGACTTGTGAACTCCCCATCTATTTTGGTAACTTGGGTTCTCTCTTTTTATTTCCCCCCCTCTCCGCAGCTCCAAAGAAAGATGCAGCTGCAAGTAGAAGAACACAGCAAGTACCTGGAGATGGTGATCGCGAGGCAGGGCGAGAGCCTAAAACAGCTCGGCGCGCTACCGAGGTTCCAGCATTCGAACGCGCAAGTCGTGGATCACAAGGAAGCATACAGAGAACAAACAGCAGACACTGATTCGGCGGAAGAGACCCATCCGGTAAAGGAATGAGCGCAGATCATTTTCTCGGAATCGCAAACAAAGGAACTCACACGCTATCTATCACTGGCTGCAGAAAGCGGGACCGAGAACCGATTAGGTTGGGACAAGAGTGGCTCAAAAAAGGATGATCATAGCCTAATCTCGTTTTTGTTGTCTTTATTTATGGGTTTTTCGCTCAGGTGACCCGACCTTTTTCAGGCATGTAATATTTCCCTCTTCATAACAGAACCATGACCGCATTGTAGTTTATGTATTTTTCGTCGATGCCGGCGCCGCCATACATGTTTTCTCTTTGATTTGATGATGCTCACTGGTCAGGAGGCTTTGCATTTAGCTCTCTGCATCTGCTTGTAAAACCCGCCATGGACAGCAACACAAATCAGCACAGCATAATCTTACAGCCTGTTTGGAACGCAAGGATTTAGCATTGAACAGCCGTACATGAGTGCTTTATTTCAATCCATCACAAGGTGCAATCTGATGTGATTTATACATACGTGACGGACAGGCAGCTTGGATATTTAGAAATGAGACGAGCTTCAGCAGAGCAGGGCGTGTCGCTGAAGGCATCAAGCCGCCTGGAAAGCCTGGGCAAACTGCAGCCAGACGGGGCTCTTCTTCAGCTCCTGGCACGCCGCGGCGCCGCCGGCGAGCATCGCCCTGACGGGCGCCGCCGTCCCGGTGGAGTACAGATTGCACCGCAGCCCGCCCTGGATCTGTTCAGAAGAAGAAAGCCATATGGTTGTAGCTCGTCGCACCTTGTTAGCAGTTGAGGAAGCAGAGATGGCAGCGAGCGAGCGTTTGAGCTTACTCTTGTGGCGACGGTGGCGAGGTCCGGCGTCTGCGCGGCGGCGCCGCCATGGAGCGGCGTCGTCGTCACCCCGGCCGGCCGCGCCTCCTCGGCGACGAGGATCTCGGCCGTCCTGGCTCCCGCGTCCTGTCCCGGCACCGCCGCGCCCCGGAGGCCGGCGTAGGGGAGCGCGGAGTGGCACGCCGCGCAGTCGCTCTGCATGAACACCTTGGCCCCGCGCTGCGCCCTGCGAGTCCATCACAACCCTCACGAGATGCTTAGAAGAAGAGGTGAGTGAGTGCTGGTGGCTGGTGTGGCGTGCTTACGCGTCGCTCGGCCACGGGTAGACGGGGCACGCTACCCCCGTCGGCGAGGCCGCCATTGGAACGCCTCACCTGAGCTGAGCTCCGGCGCAAGTGTGCGTGTGGCCACCGGCGTACGTGGTTGGAGGTGGATATGTGTCCGTGAGCGGGCGCTGCTGCAGCGACTCACTCTCTGCAGATAAGTGTGGTGGGTCGTGGGACGGTTGGGAGCGTGGCGGAGCTCCTTGGGCTCTGGATTGGACTGGATTGGGGTGACGTGGAAGCACACTGAAGAAGGCGCCTTTCTGCCGGGGGAATGGAGCCCGTTTCCGTCTTTGTCAAGGCGGGTTTCCAAACGCTCTATCATGGCTTCTCTTTGTCTTTGGTGGAAGAAATTAACGCCGTCGTCATTCATGTACACGGCCCATAGGCCGGTCCATGCTATCTCGGCGGTGAGATGATTACTCTAGCAGCTAATTTTCACGGCCGGCCGCCTCCTCCCAAAAAGCATAGGGTTCCGCTGCCTTCCGCCGCCGCCGCCCGGTCCGCCTTGTCTTCGGTGGCTTTAGGGTCATGGCGGCCGATGGATCCCGGCCCTTGCCGGCGGGACGACTTCATTTTTAGATGTTTTTTTGAGTTCTGTTAGGGTTTGTGTCCTGATTAGGAAGACGAGACGGCGACGGCTTCCTGAAGATGCAATAAGGGTTATATCCTAATCAGCAAGCTCGATCCGATCTAGAGCTGCAGGGTTCATATCCTAATCATGGAACCCTCGATCCGATCCATCTAGAGCTGCAGGGTTCATATCCTAATCAGCGTGCAAGTCGCGTGCATGGATATATTAACATCTCAGAACTCAGTATGGGAGGAGTGGCGAATGGATGTGCTCGGTATGGGAGGAGTATAAAATCCATCTAGGTCGTCGGTTGGGCAGTAGTTGTCTGTCTAGAGCTGCAGGGTTCATATCCTAATCAGCGTGCAAGTCGCGTGCATGGATATATTAACATCTCAGAACTCAGTATGGGAGGAGTGGCGAATGGATGTGCTCGGTATGGGAGGAGTATAAAATCCATCTAGGTCGTCGGTTGGGCAGTAGTTGTCTGTCTTGGAGGATGCATACATGCATGCCACTTGCTATAGTGGCTACACGTAGTACTCAAAAGATTAGGACCTGTTAAGTAGCACACACTTAAGGAAAAGGAAAAACCATGTGATCTACACACGTGTTAGTAGTAGAAACCAAGCGTCGGGTTTGCTGCTGTGTGCTCACCCGTCCTGCGGCGCCCACGAGTAGGCCGCCGGGCAGGCCGCCGTCGGTGTAGCCATTGCCGTGGTTGGTGCCGGAGTAGTACTATACTTCTGGTTTCGCTGGTGATGGTAATTTGTGTGTACGAGTAGGTGTCGTGTGGTCTTTCTTTTTTGCGGTTGAACCTTTGTATTACTTAAGTGATAATGTCACGGTATGTATTACAAAGATCAATAACTTCTGACAAGCCAGAGTTAACCCAAACTACGGTTCTATTATCAGTTCTGGCATATTTTACCAAATAGTCACTAACAACATTCTGGCTACGATGGATATGAGTAAAAATAGTTGTACGGAGAGTACGAAGATGCTTGATTTCTTCCACCAATGAGGCAAGGACCGATCTATCAGTGGCCCCATCATTTATCATCCTCACAGCTTGCAAGGAATCCATCTCAACATGTACTGGTAGCTCCGTTCTCTGAATTGCTATTGATAATCCCTCCATACACGCACTGAGCTCTGCTTCTAGGGCGTTCCTACATGAGAATAGCACCCTACATGATGTAAAGATAATCTGGTCCGTGCTATCACGAAGGACCATTCCAGCACCTGCACCATCATCGGCCGTCCAGGATCCATCAGTGTTTAATTTTGCCCAGCCCTCCATTGGCACCGTCCACAGAGCATTCACCACTGGTTCCCCTCTCTCACGAGGCAACATAACATGGTCATAAGAGATCACCTGTTTCCCCTTCACCCGCTCCTCGTCAGAGTATTTTAGTGTTAAGGGCGAATCTAGATAGCTCACTAGAAAGCTTTTTGATACCTCCATTGGCGGAGGTTCCTTGTAGTGAGTCACTTCATTTCTGTTGTGCCATACTCGCCATACCGTCAACATTAGCATGCATCGTTCAATTTCAGTTAGTGGCTGCAACATTTGAAGTAGCCACTCAGTGCCCGTATTTTCCACTTCTTCTAGCTTCGACAAACGCCATACAGTGGCCATACATCTCCACATTTGCACCGCTAGAGGGCATCTGCATAAGGCATGAAAGGCGGCCTCCTCCTCTCGTCCACAGAGCGGGCAATTCCTTGATTGTTCAAGCTTCCGTTTATGTTTATTCTGCCAAGTTGGAAGAGAGTTGATAGCAGCGCGCCAGGCAAAGTTCTTCACAATGGGCAGAACAAGGCTCTTCCATATCATTTCCCAACATGTACCGTGGCCATCTGGAGAAATGCTTGATGATTCTTCTGTCATCCTACACATCTCGTTGAAGGCCATAGTGTATGCCGACTTTACTGTAAATGCACCACTCTTCGTTGGACCCCAAGCAAGCAAGTCATTGCCTAGTCTTGGTGAAGCTCTTATTTTCAGGATCTCATGTACGTCACAGGAAAGAAATGCTTATTGTAGCAGGTTAACATTCCAGGATCCATTTTCTCTTAAGAGTTGGGAAACCCATCAATATCTGTATGTACCTTGTGCCGAAATTGGCCTGTACGAGAAAGGCTTAGGAATCCAAGTATCCCTCCATATTCGAATACTCCAGCCGTTTCCCACTCTCCATATCAGCCCTTTCTTGAGCAGATCAAGGCCATGGCTGATAGCAGTCCAAGTAGAAGAAGCATTACCCGAGAAAACCGTATCCTCTAAATTGCCATTGGGGTAATATTTACTCTTTAACAATCTTGCACATAAACTCTCAGGCCTAGTTAGGAGTCTCCATGCCTGCCGAGCTAGAAGGGCCTGGTTGAACAACCGATAATCATGAAACTTTGCACCCCCTTTGCTTTTTGGTTGTTGCAGTTTTTGCCAAGACTTCCGGTGCACCTTCCGTTTCCCTTGGGCTGCACCCCAATAGAAGTTCCTGACCATCACCGTGAGATCATCACGGACAGAGTAGGGAAGTTTAAAAACTCCCATGACAAACACCGGAAGGGCTTCAACAACGGATTTAATCAAAACCTCCCTACCCGGTTGGGCTGTGTATATACTGAGCTTGTGCTGCTTTACAAACTGTTATCTGCAAGCTCGATCCGATCCATCTAGATCTGCAGGGTTCATATACTAATCAGCGTGCAAGTCGCGTGCATGCATATATTAACATCTCAGAACTCAGAAGAGTGGCGAATGGATGTGCTCGGTATGGGAGGAGTATAAAATCCATCTAGGTCGTCGGTTGGGCAGTAGTTGTCTGTCTTGGAGGATGCATACATGCATGCCACTTGCTATAGTGGCTACACGTAGTTAAAACATTAAGATCGAGTTACCCGATCAGGATGCATCCCTGCGTCCCGACCGAAAAAGTCAAAACGTCATTTTGCGTGTGTGCGTGCATGCGCTTCGAACCACTCTGAAAACTAGTAGTAGTTATTCAAGGATTTCTTGGGTAGAATGCATTACATGCAAATGTAACGGGTATCTACCGCAAATTTGACCCCTTAAATGTTTGCGAACACGTCCGGTCAGCATCCGGGCATGTTTCTTCTGAGCCCCATTTGTCCATGCACGTAACCATGCTCTTTATTTTTTCCCTTATATGTCCGGTCACATGCATATAGTTACGAAAACACTAACGCCTACACGTGTGGACGTTTGCATCTCGCCCACACGTGTGGATCCGTATCCGTTTGTGAGCGCACGAATTTTGGCATGTTTTAGTACCACGTAGGACTGGGCTAGTGTTTGAGCATTCACCCGGTCGCCCACACGGCCATTTCACCACATGGGAGGGGTTGGTGTGTGGGCGTTCATCAGTTCGCCCACACACCACTTTCCACGCACGCACAAGGGCTGGTGTGTGGGCATTTGCCATCTCACCCACACGCCCATCTCATCTCCCACACCCAAGTTGCCACTTGCCATGTGTTTAGCAGTGTATATGGCAACTGCCCTAGTGTGCTTTATAAGCAGGTGGCAACTCTCTTTTTTTTACCCGAACATGTCAGTTGGCATGTATTTTGCAGGGTACACGACAACTGCCCTACTGTGCTTGTAAGCAGATGAAATTTTTTTTTACCCGAACATGTTGTTTTGCCATGTCTTTTTTGTAGCGCTACACGACAACTGCCTAGTGTTAGTAGGTGTCAACTCCTAAAGTTTTCAAATCATGGCAACTGTAGTAAACCAGACCATACATGATAACTGCCTAGTGTTAGTAGGTGGCAAACCCCTAAGGTTTTCAAATCATGGCAACTATAGTAAACTAGACCATACATGGCAACAGCCGTAGTTGCCCAAAAATGGCATCTGGAACTTTTGATATGAGATGGCAACTGCAGTTGAGCAACCATGGCAACTGTAGTTGTCCGACATGACAACCGTAGTTCAGCGACATGGCAACTGCAGTTAAACGAACATGGACGAGGATCTGGACCATGGCAACTGCGGGCGCGCGGTGACTGTCAAGCGTGGCGTGCGGGACCACGAGGTATGAGGCCTGACATACGGGGCATGTGCGCGTTATGTATTTCGCCCACACGCACGCGTGTGAGAGGGATCGTGAGGAAAAAAAAGAGATGTGTGGGCATTACTTGTTTTGCCCACACGTAGGTGTGTGGGCTGTTCCTCTTATACACCACACAAAATGTGTGGGCAGACTCCCTAACACCCACAAGTGTGGCACTTATCGGCGTCCTATAGTTAGTGAGGATAAAAAAAAAGAATAATTAAACAGAAAGAGTGATCCAGGGTGGGCCAAATCCTATGTGGTGCACTGCCCGGACAAGCCCGCGACCCCTCATAGTGCCCCATATATGGTCTGGGTTGAG